TGCTCAATTTCCACTCTGGATGGCGGAAAGGAAGTAAAAAGGGCCACATTGGAAGGATTCAAAAAAAAAGATTAAAGGCACATATTTTTGCGACAAAAATCTGCTTTTTTTTTTTTTTTTTAAATTGAAAGTTGAATCTGATTTTGAAGAAACTGTGTCTATTTTCAAGAACAAACAGGAAAGACAAATGTTTCATAATTTGGCGAATTGAAAAAAAATCATTTGTATGTAAGAATCCAATAGTGTATGAGAAAAAAAGTTGTCTGAAGGCGTAACATTGGAATGAAGAAAATCCTCTCTTTTTTTTTTTCATTTGCTGACTTGCGGCGCTCTTCCGCCACGTCCTCCCTCCTCTTGGTCTTCTTGCCGGGAAGCAAGGGAAGATGCCACCTTGCAGCGAATCGGCTTAATTGCACTTCACTCCATGCCTGCTGGCCAAACTTGCATGGAACTTCGGGGTCTAATTTGTTCTTTTTTTTTTTTTTTTTTTTTTTTTTTTTTTTTTTTTTTTTTAAAAAAACTGCCCTTTTTTCCACCCCCCCCCCCCCCAAGAAAAATAACAAGATAAAACAGAATCTACCTTAGACTTATTTTACTTTTGTGTGCTGGAACATTTTTCCTCCCAAATATATATAATTGTCAATTTTTTAAAAGAAAATTTCACTTGAAAAAAAAATCTGACTTAATTCCATTTTGATTTTTTTTTTTTAATCTAAAAAACGTTACAAAAAAAAATCGCTTAAAATAAAGACTTTTCTCAAAAGCGCAACTTTTTTCAGGAAGAAAAAGATTCTCAAAAAATACAATTTCACCCCCACCCCAAAAAAACTTTTGTTTCTTCTTGAAAATAAAAGACGGAGGACTTTATTGGCAGATTGCAACTTCTCAAATATATGATGGAAATATACAAAAAAAAAGTTGAAACATGTTATGATAATGAGATAATACACACAGAGGATTATGCAAAACGGATTAGCATATCTGGTGTGAATGTTCTTCGTGCATATGTAATTATGTTTTGATGGGTGACGAAGAATGTTCCCCCCCCCCCCACCCCCATTTCCTGACAGGACACTAACACCTGCACTGTTTTGATGGCGTTTGCATCAAGTTCAAGAAGTACCTTTGTACCGTTCTCGCGCGTGCGCTTGTGGGAATAAGATGCAAAAATGTTCACCCAAGATTAGAAAGCTGACAAAAGACAGACCTTTGAAAAGGATTAAAAAAAAAAAAAGCCTGCTCCTCCCTTAATCTCGGGAATAAGCGACCATTCTTTTTTAGATGACAAAGCCTGATTTTATTGAAAGATGCTGGCTGTGTATCCATTTACAGGGGGATATGAAAAGTCTACACACCCCAGGTCAAACGCCAGGTGTTTGTGATGTCGAGACATGAAACTTGAGATCAACCATCCTAACGCATTAAATGACCTTTGACCTTTACAACCCAATTGGAAAAAGATGACATGAAATGAAAACCGAGCATGATTGCCTCCCGTTATTTTCAACTCGTATTCATATTTTGTAGGTTTCCAGCTGCAAATGCACATTTTTGTCTGCTTATTATCAAATGTGTCAGCGTATTACGGCGGCACACGTCGTTGATGTTTGACATGAAATGGCAAGGTGCTAATCATTGCGGGGAGGTGTTGTTTTCCAGAGGGGGAATCGGAAAAACCCGCTGCCGTTTCCCCCGTGCGCCCGCAAGCGAGGCGGCGCCGCTTTCATTGCGCTGACATTTCCCCGCCCTTTTGTACCGTTTTGCTTTAGTTACCCGTCGCATTGCGGAAGTGCTTCACACACAAACAGCTATTTAGAAACACGTTTGTTGTTTTTGAAGACATCGGAATCAATGGCACTCGCGACGCTCCTTCGTCTCAATTACGGCTGCAAGTCGGCGCTCCCCCGAAGTTGCACCCAGGCTCTTTATGATGAATCTCCACTTAAATGCAATACGTGGGTGTTTTTTTTTTTTTTGTTGTTTTTTTTGTTTTTGGGTCTCGGTTTCTTGATTCGCCTGCAAAATCAGGAGCGCCTTTTGCAAATTCACGCCATTGTTGCTTACTTGATGTGTGAAATTGGACGTAGTGTCCGCTAAATTAGTGGACTCCCCCCCACCTCTAAAAATATTCCCTTTTGTCTTGAAAATATGACCCAAATTCACCAAAATATTCAACATTTATTAAATTAAAAAAAGGACTTAATCTCTAAAAATGTATTTTGTTTTGTTTCGATGAGATAAGCAATGTTTTGTAACTTTATAAAAACATGACCCCCATTTAATTTTATAGATATATAATCTATAAAATCAAACAAAAGTAAAAATGATCTTACCCTCAAAATTTTGTGATTTATTTTGATAATCTATAACTAAGAATCTTTTTTTAATGACAAAAATTTCAGATTTCTAATCCAAATTGATACCTGGCCTCTATTTGAAGACCTTCATGAACAAGTCATTGGCGTCCCTTTCTGCTGAATTTTCAGCTCATGTCAAATGAAAAGTAAATGCAGCAAAATGCCCCACTACGAAAGAAATCGTCCTGTCAGCCTGTTTATCTTTTGATATTTTTTTGGCGGGGCCCAGCCTCCAAAAACAGCAGTGAGGCAGAGCAGGGTGGGCTTTGTTGGGGCAGGGGGGTTGGCTGTTGGTGGTGCGAGCGAATGTGGCTGAGTAAACACTTTAGCGCCCGTGCTGTCTGTCGCCACGCGCTCAGTTTAGGAGGGCACGCCGACAAGTTGTTTTTCCACGGGGCACCCGTCTGTAAACACGCTACATTGCCAGCCCACTCCTGCAGGTGTCTTATTTTTGTCGTGTGTGTGTGTGTGTGTGTGTGTGTGTGTGTGTGTGTGTGTG